GCTCCAGCTTTGAAGTTATGATGATATTGAGGTCTCTTCTCACGAGCCAAATATACCAAAGTTGGTAACACATTTCCTTCAATATCCATGGCATTCGGGTCTTTCGCATCAATTAATATCTGGAATTGTTAAATTTTGCAGCCATTAAAACTAAGGTAATTGAAATGCTCCAAATTATTTAACAATACGTTAGAACTTGTTTCGCATACTTGCAGAATGGTGTCATGGTCACGTCGAGAAGTATATGAGTCCCATTGCGAAAATCCTTGATGTTTTGAGCGTAATTCTTCTGAAATTCTACCTGCTTCGGATGCAGTTACGATTCGATTCTTCATTTCCTCGTACATTTTCTACAAGAAGAAGAAAAAAAAAAGGTAGATTTCAAGGACGAAAAAAGAAGAAGGTAGATTTCAAGTACTACCATTTCTAACTAATGGACGTTTTCAACCCCCTATATATAGGCTGATGCACTCTTTTGGAAAAAAATAAAAAGAATAATTATCCTATTTTTTATAAGATTCATTTTTTTAAGTTGGAATGCATTAAAATATTATTAATTAAATAATATAAAAAATTCATTAATACTATTGTAATAAATTTATAAATCAAACTCTATATACTATTAATTTGTAGTTTAACTTAAATTTTTTTTGATTATATATATATTATATAAAATTTCGATACTTTTTTTTTCCAACAAAATAACTATTCTCTCTCTCTCTTTTTCTTTTTTTTTTTTTTTACCAGTACTCGAAAATACAAAATAACTAGTCATAAAATGCTGTAAATGAAACATAAATTTTTATGTTGTCATTTAACTTCAGTTAAGAAAAAGGAATTTTTATGTTGTCATTTTCGTACTGATCTAAAGCTGGTGAATTATTAACTCCTTAGAAATAACTGGCTTGGATATTTTATACTACCTTGATAGCTGCTGATTCGCCAGGACAGGCTGCATTTTCTGTGTCAAGAGATGACGTAAAATAAGCCGCCGGAGATCGAGGGTCGACGCTGAATTTTTTACAAAATGGTATCCAATGCTTAGCAAACTTAGAGGCCTCCAAGAGGGCATAAAAGGTGATCTCGGAACCCGCGTCATCGGAGAGGTAGATGGCAAGCTTCTCCGGAGGGTAGTCATAGGCCATGACGGATAAAACAGTGTTGATCACCATAATCTGCGGCTCTATCTCCGGATCCGCCGTGCAGACAAAAATATCCACCCTCGGTAAGTTGCTTTCATCATGTCTGAAGAAAAAGATTTAATTAATTAGATTGAACAACAGTCACTCACTTCTAAGGAATTCAGCAAAAGCTAGCATCTTTACTTACCTTTTGGAGAGTCTATCCTTGAAGGTTCGCCGGTAGATGGGATTCCAGCGCAAGGATTGAGTGAGGATCCAGTAGAAGCCAAACCAGAGCTCAGCCGCAAACAATCCGATCCAGACCCATCTTCCTTCTTCTCCGTTTGTTGGTAACTGAGTTGCTCTGTATGTCCAAAC